TCAGAATACTTGTTTCACCGTTTCCACTAATAGTTCACATGCGCAGACATTTAATACACGAAATCGCACCACTTTTACAAATCAAAATCCACTTCAAACCATTATTTAAACAATGATACAGGAGCAGCAATCCGCCCCCGGTCAAGTTCCCGCCAAAACTCCATCCTTTTTACTATAAAAAGAATTACATGATGTATATAGCATATAGCATATATGTCGGTAGATAATAATAACGTTTTTAACAGCTACCCCGTATTGATTGAGTTTATGGATAAATGTCCTTGAATAGCAAGTTATTAAAACAAAAAAACTTCTACTTCATAAGAAAATAGACGGCTTATACTATTCTATAGTTCTATTGTCATACAAAGAATCTTTATAATGTAGTTCTGGCTTTTTGTCCTAACATACAGTATTAAAACTCTTAGAGTAACATGTCTTTCAATATAGGTATCAATTTTAAGATAACAATATTTTAGAAATAGATATTTTATCTTTTATAGGATAAAGGTGACAAGCGAGCACACAGTCCACCAGATGGTAAGTGATCGCTGTGGTCTATAGATATCTACATCTATCCTCGTTTGCGAATCAATTTTTTTTTTGGCAAATTGAGATTGGCCGCTGTGACTAAAGCTGTGTTAAAGTAAAATTCTTGTTTAAAATTTACGAATAAGTTGGGTGTTACAAAATATTTAATGCTCGATAAATGTGGTCACAGCTGACCGCACTGTAGCCCGCCCGCACTTTCGTTCAATGACCCTTCACAAACTAAACGGTGATTTACCGCAAATTTGTTTGTGCCTGGTATTTTTTTCTACACGACTTACTTTTTATTTAATGCAACCATTTTAATATTGAAAATATTTCCGGTTATATAAACTTCATCGCCTAAATCGCAACAATCTATTGTTTTCATAACAGATGAAATAACACATAATAAAGCTGTAGTAGCTTAGGTTATGCGACCGCCGTGAATTTCATAGAACGCGCCTAGGTTCGTTCAACACATGTACCACAATTATTTTGTAATTTGAATTAGTAGTAATTATAAGTTGACCTAGTAGTAATTATAAGTGCTCTAATCCAAAGTCCCGAAACCTTTCAGCTCGAGTTGCAAAACCGTTTTCAGTGCCTAGAAGACTGCAATGAAGTGGACGATTTGAATGACAAGCTCGTGGAAACTGTCCATGCGGTCGGAGCTAAGTTCTGCAAGACCCGCCGCAGAAGAACACAAAAACTCTCCGATCACACTCTTAATCTCATGGCTGTTAGACGGGAGATGAAGCTACATTCTTCAACAGATTTGACAGCATACAGGCAACTGAACAGACAGATCTCCAAATGCATGCGGCGGGACTTACGCAACTTCAATACAGCTCGTATTGAAGAAGCGATCGAGCGGAACCAAGGCTCCAAAGTCTTTGCCAGAGATCTGTCTGCCAGAAAGAGCCAACTGTCAAAGCTGAAGACCGAATGTGGCAGCATCGTTTCCGGGGCACCTGAGATTTTGAGTGAGATTGAGAGGTTCTATGGGCAGCTGTACACGTCATCGTTGGAGCCACACGCAAGTGTGAGTAACGATCCAAGAGCGAGTCTTATCCGACATTATTCCGATGATATCCCGGACGTCAGTCTGAGCGAGATTAGAATGGCTCTCCAGCACCTTAAAAACGGCAAGGCCCCAGGCCAGGATGGAATTACAGCGGAGCTTCTGAAAGCGGGTGGAAAACCGGTACATGAAGTCCTTCAGAAGCTCTTTAATTCCGTCCTCCATGGTGGCATTACACCGGAGGCGTGGAGCAGAAGTGCGGTGGTCTTGTTCTTCAAGAAAGGCGACAACGCTCTTTTGAAGAACTACAGACCGATTTCCCTTCTGAGCCGCGTCTACGTGCTGTTTTCGAGAGTCATTACGAATCGTCTCGCGCGCAGACTTGACGACTTCCAGCCTCCCGAACAAGCCGGTTTCCGAAAAGGCTTTAGCACCATAGACCACATACATACCCTTAGGCAAATTGTACAGAAGTCCGAAGAGTACAATTTGCCACTATGTCTGGCGTATGTGGACTATGAGAAAGCCTTTGATTCCGTCGAAATTTGGGCGGTGCTGCAGTCCCTTCAGCGATGCCAAGTTGACTGTCGGTATATCGAAGTGTTGAAGTGCTTGTACAGTAGGGCTACGATGGCTATCCGAGTACAGAACCAGAGTACGAAACCTATCCAATTGCAGAGAGGTGTAAGACAGGGTGACGTCATATCCCCGAAACTCTTCACCGCTGCATTGGAAGATGTTTTCAAGCTTCTGGACTGGAAAGGATACGGTATCAACATCAATGGCGAGTACATCACTCACCTTCGATTTGCCGACGATATAGTCCTTATGGCAGAATCGCTGGAGGACCTAAGCACTATGCTCAATGACCTCAATAGTGTTTCCCAACGGATAGGTCTTAAGATGAACATGGACAAAACAAAGATCATGTTTAATGTCCATGTCACACCTATGCCGGTAGTTGTTGGGAACACTAAGCTCGAAGTTGTTGACGAGTATGTTTACCTGGGACAAATAGTCCGATTAGGTAAGTCCAACTTCGACCGAGAGGTCAATCGACGGATTCAACTCGGTTGGGCAGCGTTCGGGAAATTACGGCACATCTTCTCGTCAGGTATACCTCAAAACTTGAAAACGAGACTGTACACCCAGTGCGTGTTGCCAGTGATGACATACGGAACTGAGACGTGGTCCTTCACTGCTGGCCGGATGAGGAAGCTCAAGGTCGCTCAGCGAGCTATGGAGAGGGCTATGCTCGGAGTTTCTCTGCGTGATAAACTCAGAAATGAGGATATCCGCAGTAGAACCAGAGTGACCGACATAGCCCAACGGATTAGTAAGCTGAAGTGGCAATGGGCCGGCCATATAGCTCGAAGAACCGACAACCGATGGGGAAGAAAGGTTCTCGAGTGGCAGCCTCGTACCGGCAGGCGAAGTGTAGGGCGTCCCCCCACTAGATGGAGTGACGACCTGGTAAGATTTGCAGGAAGTCGATGGATGCAGGTGGCTCAGGACCGTGCTTTGTGGCATTCTTTGGGGGAGGCCTATGTTCAGCAGTGGACTTGTGAAGGGCTGTAATGATGATGATGATGAAAATAAGTTGACCGTGTAGTGGTAGTGTCATCACGTGACAGTGGGAAATATATGTCTTTCTAATAAACGACTAAAAATAAAAAAAACTGCGGTTGCCAACCCGCTTGCAAAACGTAAAAACTACTGCAAATATAACCCCTTTTGAGTCAATCTATAAGGTGGGGGGGGGGGGGGTCAAATCTATGTACAACGGTGACTTTTGTTAGCCTGTAATGGCAACAGTAATAATAATACATATATCTCTTTGCGTATTTTATCGTATCTACCACGGGGAGTGCTCTGAGGCATTGTTTGGTCTAATTCCAGTCGCTCAATTTTACCATCGTACATCACGAAAGAACTCTAGATGCAATCCATACCATTTAGATGATTGGCGGTCCACTACCGTGCGATTTACAAGGGATTTTCTTTCTCGCACAACTTCCTTGTAGAATGTAATACCACCTGCAATTTTTCCGGACCGATACGACTTAGGGACCTTCAAGAAAAGAGCCTATACTCCGGCAACGCATTTGCAATTCCCTGGTGTTGCAGTTGTTCATGGGCGGCGGTAGTCACTTACCATCAGTTGAGCCGTATGATCGTTTGCCCCTTTTCATATTAAAAAAATCTTTAAAAGTAAAAAAAAAATATTTCTAATAATAACTTCGGAATTCGAGGTTTTAATTCTTCGATAAACTATCTCTTAGCAACGATTTCAAAAGCTTTCCCTCTATATACATTACGACCGTACTTTAAACGCTATGGTTCACTTATCGTCACGTTCAGTAATGGAAATTCAATTAAATTAAATCTATTATAACAATCGTTTTGTGGAGACAGCGATGCAATACTGTAGCTAACTGGTTCACGCTTTGCACTACTATCAGTCTCCTAGGCGCCAAAGCAATGGCGCTTTGATTACTTCTTTATAGATTTGTGCTAGTTTTCTACTCATCTTAAATTCAAGTTAACAGACTTACGGAGTAGGGGCTAATGTTTATTTTTTAATTAAGTATAATCATTTGTTAATATTAACGTGAAAGTTTTATTATATATACGTCTCACTGCTGGGCACAGGCTGTCTCTCAATTATTTTTGACAACACATCTGCATTTTGATCCTTATTCGAGGATGGATGTAGATATTTGTATATATTGTCACCCTTATTCTATATAATTATTCATTATACAATCAATATGATGTTGTGACCAGGATTAAGAAAGGAATACTTCGGTGGTTTGGTCACCTAGAAAGAATGAATGAGGAAAGAGTGACAAAGCAAATTGATTTTGCAGAGGTGAACTGCAGAGTCGGGAAGGGACGCCCTAGGCGATAGAAATTTATCGGCCAAATCTGCGATATATTGAAAAGGGGCCAAATTAAGAGTACCTTTAACCGACGAGCGTGTGTGCGTAGGTATATGGATGTGGAGGAAGTGAGAGTTGTGTCAGGATCATGCCAAATGGAAGTCCATAGTCTCTGTGTACGACTCTGGGTGACAGGCGTGAAGGTTTCTGTATTTTATGTATGTATACAAGCGATTTGAAGTAATGAGAGTGAGAGTATAAAGAGTGCGCCTGTGCTTGTGTGTGTATACACTGGTGCACTATAATCCTGTCCTACGCCAATGGGTAGTATCCGTTGAGGCTAGCCGCCGTAACCAAAATTCAGTCTGGAGGACATTATATAACAACCGATGGAGAATAAAGAGAAAGGAGTCCACTCGACTCCAAAGCATTGTACCGATAAGCCAGTAGTGAGAGGTCCCAAACTAGATGCAGGTAGCTCAGAACCGTACTTTGTTGAATGTTAGCAATAAAAATTACCTAGGCATACTCTTTCTCAAAAAGTAATCATTATTTTTTTCATACAGGGGGAGGTAAAGAACATCACGCGTCGCACGAAGTAGAACATGAGGAACATGGGAAAAAAGCTTATGAGGTAAGTCCATAAGCAACATTTGCAGTTTAGGATTAAAATGTACCTCTAAGAGCTCACATCCACATGGCCTAGTCTTACAGGTTATATTGCAACGTACTAGCTAGACATAGTGATGGTAGTTCACGAAATTTTAGGAATATTTATTTAAAAAAAAAAAAAGTAAACTAACGTGCTGTGTCATGCCGTGGATGTCGTAAGAGGCGACCATGGAAAAGGCCGAAACGGCTACATTACCTCCAATACATGCAACATACAAGATATAGGTACATCAAAAGAGCCAAAGTTGCGTCAAAGAAATTGACACTGCAATCGACAACACCCCTGCCAAACGACGTCTATGACCAGCGTGGATAATTAGGCCAAAAAGGAAGAAGTAATAAAAAAATAATAATAATGTCCAGTCTCAACGAAGACTAGCCATCTGCGTAGGACTGGATTATAGTGCATGAGTGTGTACGCAAACACAGGTGCACTCTCTATTCCCTCATTCTCAAATTCGGCAATCCGACACGACCTGAGATAGATCAGGCGCAGGACCAACGGCTTGACGTGCTTCCCGAAGCACGGATGTGGAACACCGCTAACTTCCTAACTCCGGCCTGCTACGTAGAATATCTTGACAGGAATTCCCAACAACTGGTTTTTGGCCCGACCCGGTATTCGAATCCGGGACCTCATGATCAATCGCGCTACTACTATTGAACCAACGAGGTAGTCAGTAACAAAATAATTATAATAACATGTTCTACTTTATTAATCATCAGCACCGTATCGGCTTGAGTTCAACTGGGAAGACCATCATTTGAGCTTATCTTGCGCGATATTCTTCATTTGACTTCATTTAATTCTAAATTGAGATGAAAATTGAAACGCCCTACATCCGACAGTGGATCGGAGGTCTATTTGATGATGACTTCTATATTATACTGATGATGGTGATGATGATGACTATGATAGTGACGATATTCCCTCTATCTTGGCCATAGTCATTCACACATGCTATCTTTATAGCGGTGTTGTATCGCCCTCCATATTTGTTAACTTAACAGCTAATGCTGAAGAGAGGTTGTCCCGCCAGTTAATATCACAGCAAACTTTTTTATTTTAGCAATTTAAAAAAAACAAATAACATTAAAAAAAAATTTGTTTAATATTTTTTTTGTTTGTAAATATAAACATTCTCAATTAAAAATACATAATATGTATACGTGATCGATCAAATGGATTTTGAGTTAAACGATTTCGTATATACAAATATCCTCTTTATATTTACTATGTAAAAAATTGAGAAACAATCGGGTACAGTGTTTAGAGTACATTCAAGCGTATTATACACTATACTACAATATGAATCCAGACTTTCATACCCTTCTCTACTTCAGTAATTTAGGTCTTCATCATTTTATACGTGGTAGAGCCATGCTGCAGCTATATTTCTGGTATAGTTGTAACACGAATGGGTCGGCTCGACCGGGGAAGGACCACGTTCTCACAGAATACCAGCGTAAAATAGCAGCTTAATGCTGCTGTGTTTCGTATGGTGAGTGTAGAGAACCGGAGACCCTTTTTACTGGAAACGAGGCATTCCATCTTAGTCCTCACGGGTGACAACGCATCTGCATTTTGATTCGTGATCGAGGATAAATGTAGATGTCTATGGGCCACAGCAACCACTTACCATCAGGTGGACTGTGTGCTCGTTTGTCACCCTATCCTATAAAAAAAATTTCATTACAGCCTTTCAAATGTTTAATGCTTAATATAGGCTTCCCTATAGATTGCCTCATATATGGAGGTATATTTGCCATAGTTGCAACGCATGGCAGGCATGTTGATAATCGCTGTGTTGTCTTCGTTCGTTGTTAACAGGAACGTGCTGCTACCCATCGCCTGTTTTATCCGCCTTTGTCACCTTGTATTATATTATCTACTACCCTCATTTATAGTTTTATTACAAAATATTCTGAAGGAGATATAACATATTAACTTCACAGTCATTAAAAAAAAAACTAAGTTACGTGAGGGTAATATGGTCACTTTTAGATTTGCCGCCTTATAAACCAAAACTAGGAAGAGGACAGACACAAATACACAATGTTGTATACTATAACTAACATATTAAGAAAAAAATAGCAAACAAACCTTGGCAATAATTAGGAACACGTCGAAAAATCAACTTAAAGAAAACTAAATACACTACCCAATACTAAAATCGACTAAAATATTTACTATAATATCACCTGTCAAAATGGCGTCGATAAAGCAGCGTTCTTTTGAACCTTTATTAAATAATTATTAAATAAAATTCAAATGAATGACTGATGAAGATCTATCGTATCACGAAGCCATCTATGCAAATAAGGCTGTATTTTTTGAGTTATAAGAAAGTGATCATATTAACCTGATGACCATATTACCCTCACGTACTATATTAATCAAGTTTACATCGCATACAGCGTATAGGGCCGCAGATATTAAAATGCATAATTTAACCTACAATTCATACCTTTTCGTTATAACACCCGTGAGAACGCCTGTTGCTGACTCTAACATACAAAAGTTTAGAAGCAGCCTGCCTTACTTATAGTCGTTGATTATAATTTACCTAAGCGCCGATTTTTCGATCGTCAGACAACAGTTATCCATCAAATAAATTATAACTATATATAAAAGTGAAACAATTAAACTGTTTTATTTATACAGCTGTAATTTTCACGTTAATGTTAGATATATGTGTATTTCTTAAACTGACGTCGGTTATTATAACTAAGGACAAGCAGCTACAATTAAAATAGTAGCAGTTGTGGCATATGAGCGACTGCTGATGCTACAATCCACTCGCCAAGCGTAAGGATAATCAAATTCACTTAGCGTCGCAGATGTTTGGCAGGAACTTATTAGCTGTCTTGAATAGGACATTCTACAAGCTGACTTCATTATAAAAGCACATTCATTCTCCTTCTTCAGTAAATCATTATCGGTTGCAGCTGTACGCTTGTGGTACTCCTTGCCATTATATATTCGACATGCTCAATCCTTTATTTCCTTCAAAAATATACTCAAATCTTACTACTTGGGGCTTCTTATTCTATTATTTTATCCTTGTCAGTCATCATGATGTGTTTTTCTTTTTTTTTATAATATAGGTTGACAAACGAGCACACAGTCCACCTGATCGTAAGTGGTTGCTGTGGCCCATAGACATCTACATTTATCCTCGTTTGCGAATCGTAATGCAGATGCGTTGCCACCCGTGAGGACTAAGATGGAATGCCTCGTTTCGAGTAAAAAGGGTCTCCGGTTCTCTACACTCACCATACGAAACACAGCAGTGTTAAGCTACTATTTGACGCTGGTATTCTGTGAGAGCGTGGTCCTTCCCCGGTCGAGCCAACCCATTCGTGCTACAACTATACTACTAATATAGTAGCTGCAGCATGGCTCTAGCACTTTTTTTACTAATTGTCTAATTTATGTACACCTTCCCCGTTCAACAGTTCATGGCGGAATAAGGTTGTGTACTGTACCAATAAAGAATATATTGAATTATTGTATAATAATAAATACATTTTATTCCACATTTAGCTTGCTTTGTAAACCAAATCTTTCCTAAAAGTAGCTGTTGTATATATGCAGAAAAATATTAGCTCAGGTGACATCAGATTTCATCCCCGTGTAAGAATGACATTCGTTGTAGAAAATACTATAGTTATAATAAAATTTATGTAATTTCACAGACAAAAGTCAGGTAAAATATTTACGAAACATTATTTTTGTTTACTTAAAATCTCGTGCTAAAGTGAACAGTAACATTTTTAAATAATACTTGCCGCGTCTATGTCTTACGTAATTCTATGGTTTTTGTTAACATCTTCATTTTGTTTTAATCAAAGCTCACGACCGCCCGCGTCCTCCTCTCAACCAGACCTCCTGAGGCTTTATTACTATGACATAGACATGATTTAGATTCCCAGCTTCTAGCCTGCTAATATTAGGATTACACACTAAAATTATTCCATAAATATTGTTATGGAATAATAACTGTGAGTAAAAACGTCAATTAGGATGATAAATGAATGTATCCTTCCACACACACAGCGATTATATTGTTACGTCGTCCAAAACCACTAAGCTTCTTTGGTGAGGTCATTTATAATCGCAGATGTCGTAGGTAGATTGCTCGTAGTCACTTCCTGAAGTAGAGTTCACTTTCGCGGTCCCGGAGGAATTAATTGTCCGATCGCCGGCACACCCTTTTACATAAGATTAACATAGAACATTCTTAGTTAATCCTACCACTCTATTAATCGGAAGATATTAGAATACTCGCGATTACATAACGATAATAATATGTTCAACAAAGAAAAAACTTTATACATGGCATAAGACATAAGGTTGCGTCTTGCTTGCATCAATAGTTTGAGATCTTAAACATTTTATTGCTTGATAGAGGCCATTAACCCTTATCATCGGGAACATTCTCGTGCAACGTGATGCAATAAGTACGCAACGAAATATAATTCTATTATTATTGTCGTCTTCGTTTTCAAATTCCATTGTGATCTAAGCCGACATCTATAGTCTATACCTACTTATGAGGTGTCCTTGAGTTGCATAATCTACCGTTGTCGTAAACATCGTCGACCGTTTTGTTGTACTACTAACTCGGGAGTTTCCTGCTTGCCAATTGTTCTGGTGAAGTTGTAAAGGCCGCAGGGCCAACAGCACAACTTATAATTCGGAAAATATCACCGTCATATGACATCTCATATCAGACAACACAGATACATCCTAACGTAGAAGGCAGATGAACCACCGTAGTACCAGATACTTTATAATTAATACGTTAAATTACAAGTGTAGCAGTTGTTCACGGGCGATGGTAGTCACTTACCATCAGGTGAGACGAATTCTCGTTTGCACTCTCTTACAAAAAATATTTTTATCAGCCCATTAAAGACCCTTGGTATATTATACTCTGTCGCTGAAGGAAGAATTTG